TCCAAATAATCCTAGAAGTTATTAATGCTTTTTACTCAGCTGTTTTTGCTCATTTTTCTAGTCAAATTCAAAATTACTTTCCTATTCGCATTTTGAGCAAAGCTGAAGCACTCTTGAAACAACTTGACTGTTAACAACAACCGCCCCGCCGACAAGGCTGTCGATAACCCTGTCGTTCAAGAATTGCCCTAGAAGCAAGCTGATGGCGGTTTTAACTCTTTGATAAGCACTAGTACTAATTTACCATCGAAATGAATCGTAGGGAGATTAGGTGCGCATTGGTGATTTTTTACTATTGTCATGAGTATGATGCTATTTGCCATTACGCTGTGTATAAAAATTATATTTATGCAACTTGAAATTCGAATGAAACATAGCAACTGACGAACGGCTTACTTGCTGCATGTACGGCCATTCTGATAAGCCAATGACCGTCATCTGCACCATACCGAAAAATATAATTATTGATATGAGCCGTACGGATGGCCAGTCCGTTCGTGGTTCTGCCATCTCTAAAAGAATATTTGAAAATTTTAGCTTTTACATGAATAGAGCACTTGGAAATTGGTGCTGCAGGAAATTGCAAAAACTAATGCGTCTATTGCGTCTGTCGCGTGATGTAACATACAGTATTTTTAGATATCCTGTACAGATATCTCCGTATAAATATGGCTCTGCCACTTGTACAATACAACGAATGCTGGAATTTTTATGCTCCATTTTCCCGTGAGTTCTCTACATCTCCTGTGAGGGCGGCGGTCATTTTTGCAAGTGAGTATGGACCGGGAAAAATTCCAACCACTTCTCTTCATAACCGGATTCGACGTGCTATCCACTGCATCCGGCGCCCCAGAAATGCGTACCCGGGATCGCATGTACTGTGTACTTGCTTACTAAGACAGAATACACCTTCCTTTTGTTATCGGCCTAGTACTTTTTCTGTGGTGTTTTTTCTTTGCCGGCTTTTCGCGGGGTCTTCCGTAGTAGTCTCTTGAAAGCAAAGCTGCGAAAGGGGAAGATTTTTAAGTCAAACTGCACAAAATTTTATTAAAAGTAATAAAAATAATAATTAAATAAGTGAAAAAGTTAACCAGCAAAGCAACAAAACCGACTTAAGAATGATACTGCAATGAAACAACAAGCACTAGGACTGATGTGCGATCATGTAGTTTACGACAACTTGTTCTCGGTAAACAATCACGCAGTGCAGTGGCACTTAAACATGTGCTTACGCTACTCATGCACTGATTCGATTTACAGAAAACAAGCAGGACAACTTGGAAATCGAATTTACTATGCCATCTTTCTGCGAAATTGTATCATGAATGCTCCTCAGCTGCAAATGATGAAATTGTACATGTGATAAGGCAGAAGGGTGTGGGTCCTGATTTTAGTTAAAATAGCTAATTATAAATATGCAATTGTCTGAAGACGTAAGCACCATCAGTTTCCAAGCTTTCACAATGGGCAAACAGTTAAATAAATGACTAAATGAATGGATTAGTAAGATACGTGCGTGACCAAGCAAACCAAGTAGGGAAGCTAGAAAGTAAGCACGTGAATTGATGAGTATTATGTATTTTAGCAAACTAAGCAAAAAATGATTAAACTGGTTACTTACTAAGTAGGAAAATTATTAACCAAAGTAATTGCCGCTAAATGAAAATGAGTAATTCGATTTCGGTTAACCTCGATTGAACTGGCTGGGCTCCAACTGGCCATTCGCCCAAGACTGTCGTTTGATAGGACCATCAATCGGAGCAGCTGTCGGATTGCTAGCCATTACATCTCGAAATAACCGTAAGCATTCATACAGTGAAACAGATATGAGAACCAAACTATGGAAATTGTTAACTAAAGTAATTACAGTTAAATGAAAACTACTAAGTAACTCGGTTTTGATTAACCTCGATTGAACTGGCTGGGCTCCAACTGGCCATTCGCCCAAGACTGTCGTTTGATAGGACCATCAATCGGAGCAGCGGTCGGATTACAAGCCATTATATCTCGAAATAACCGTCAACATTCATACAGTGAAACAGATATGAGAACCAAAATATGAATTCAGAATGTTTGTTCGCTTTAAACTGATTTGAACTTAGCAGGAATTAAAATTGGTAACTGAATGGAACTGTATCGAATTTGGCGGGAATTAAAATCGAATAACCGAACTGAATATGTTCATCAATTATTAGCAAGACAGGCAACTTATCCTCCGCAAAAAAACAAGTAAAAACTATCATCAATTACTTCAAGAAGATGGGAAGTCTGGTTCGAATAAATTCAAAAAAAAAAGCTGAAAATTATGCCAAAACTTTCATACAATCAAAGAGTTACCAACTGCACACTGGCCATCTTCGTTCGCAATGTGGACGACAGTGGGTTCAGCCATACTTGCAGCTCGATATTTGTAACTTTCAGCGCAGGCAAATTTCCCTCAAATGGTATTCTTTTGGCATTGTGTATTTGACTAGAATTCGAATGGCTCATCAAAGAGCAACAAATGGAAAATCATTTTCAGGAAAAAACGAAGAATTTCATAAAGACGGGAAAGGGCATTCATCATTTAATCAATGACGCACAAAGGGTTGAGAGCAAAACCTCAAAATGGGATATCACCATTTTTTACTGGAACCTGAATTATACCAGCCATCAATGCCCAATAACAAAAGCCAGT